CGCAGTGGTTCTTACCCTTACCAGCAGCCAGAATGCAGATGCCCTGCCCGTGTAGCCCACTTCCTCTTCACTCCTTGACCAAATTATGATTCAGTTGGTCTGAGTGGAGCTAGGGCATCCTTTTCCCAAAGCTTCCTTGGTGATTTCAAAGTTCGTGAGTTCTTGAGCCACTCTTCTATTCCTGTGTACACCTCGCAGTGTCTGTATTGACTACCACATGTCCACACATCTCTTGTGTAGCATTTCTTTCAATCATTTGTGGATATAACTCAGCTAAAAATCCATTTAAAAAGAGTCCTAACATTTATAGGGACTTTGTCATTAGATGCTTCCTCATCTATCTATTCCAAAAACTCCATTATTATCATGATGTCAAGGCATCCAGACTTGAACAGTTGGAACATCACAACTATTGAAAGCTCCAAGGTGGAGCTGAGATTGTTTAAGAACACATTCCTTGAAGTGACAGTCAAGACTAGTCTAGGGTTAAGACTTCATTATGAGCACAAGAAAATTTTATTATTATGTGTTGAAGATAAAGGCTCTATAAACAGAAGGGAAGAAAGACATGTTGCCTAACATGTCCTTGCCTTGAACCTGAGACCTGGATAAAATCCTAAACTCTGGCTGCTCTTTGGGGATCCTCCGTATAATAGCTCAGTGCAGTGGGAACCCTGGGCACCTACAGGGTTCTCTGTTGGGTTGCTAACTGCAAGGCCAGCAGCTCAAAACAACCAGTTGCTCCTTAGGAAAAAGATGAGGTTTTAAACTCCTGAAAATATTTATAGTCTTGGAAACCCACAGAGACTGTTCTACGCTGTCCTGTAGTGTTACCATGAGTTGGAACCTACTCAATACAGTGAATTTGATTTTGAGGGTTTTTTGTTGTTGTTTTGGTTTTTTAGTGCAATGAACCTAGCTTTTTTCCTCAAGGATTTGTAAGCACTTATTGGTTGGTTCTTTCAACAATCTTTGTGGGTCCTGCCAGTGGGACCTGTGTTTTGCTTATGCCCTATAGAACCGCCTTCAACATAGGGACTGGCAGATGAGGTTACAAGACGAAACTCCTGGACAGAAATTCAGGACTCAATTGCCATTCTCTATATCCTGGCACAAGTCACTTCCTCTGCTGCAAAGTCAAAATGCTTTACGACATTGGCTTTAAAATATTAAAAATCAAATGGCTATATTGGATTGTGTAAGATATGTCAATAAAACTATTATTTAAAAATATTAAAATCAGAGTTGGGTGTCACATTGCAAAAAGACGTCTTCTTAAAAGACACTGTGTCTATCTGTCCTTCTGAAGGGCAGCTGTACTTAAGACAGCTGAGATTGAGAAAATATTATGACGTTAAACTACTTGAAGCAAGAAGTCTACCACAATCATCAGAAACTCATTCCAGTTTTTAACAACCTTACTACAGGAGCCCTTACTTTAATTTATTAGACGTCTTTCCCATTTCTTGTTCTTTTGTCCTAAGGGAGAGGAATAGAAATTCGGCACCATTCTCCACCTGATATTTCATTAGAGACCCACAGGCATTTCAGCTTCCTATTCAAGTTTCCATTTTCAGGAACAAATAAGCCCCGCGTTTCCACTTTCTCCTTAATGGTCCTTTTTCTTTCTTAACTGAGCTGCTGTGAAATGTTGCTGGCAAGAGTGGTGAACGCCTGTAGATCTTTCCACTTGCAAGGTATCCTTACCTAACCAATCCTCAATCATCAGATGTTTTTTCCCCTGAGATTTTAGAAAATATATGAAATGCATTTGATGCATCTCTATGAGGTGAATGACCCACAGCCACCTGAAAATGATTTTGAGATCAGGGATAATATAGCAATTTTAACAAGACTCGGGTAGGCATATTCCTAGAGTCCAGTAAGGAAAGACTGCCAACTTCAATGAATGAAGAAGTTGTTGACAAAGTCTGGAAACTGGTTGAAGAAGACTAGTTAAAGATTGATGTAATAGTTAAAGATTGATGTAATAGTTACTGAGGCTGCAGTCTCACCTGGTGCAATGTTTTCAATTCAAGTGAACATCTCGGCCTCAATACCTCTCCATGGGTGTCAAATGCACTGTGTGGCAGCCAGCTGGCTCAAACAGCTGATGTTTATATCAGCCTTTTAAGCAAGATCAAAGCTAATGAAAGTGATTTTGTGGAATGAATCACAATCGGGAAGGAGCAGGATCCAGAGACTTCCGAGGAAATTTGCTGAGCCAGTTCTATTCTAGACTCAGAGATCAGTCCAGAAAGTTATAGTGACTATTTTGTGTGTGTGTGTGTGTGGGGTGGTGGGGGAGGTGGTGGGGTGGTGGTAAGGACTCCAAAGGAGTAATCTTGATAGGCCCAGGACAATTCCAGAAAATGGAAAATTGCATTGGTGAGAAAAATGTCAGGAAATTTTTGCCAAGGCATCGTTTTCCATCATGACAGTACACAGTACACAGTACACAGTACACAGCCTCATTCTTCTGGGGTGGTCCGGGCTGTCCTATGAGAATGTCATTGAGAACCAGACCCCATCCACTGCACAGTGTTGCTCTCGCCCCAACTAACGGAGTATTGGTTGAAACCCTGGAGATGGCAACACCATGTGCACACAGGCCAATGAAAGATGCAGAATTCTTTGGGGGAAAGGGTTAGAGAGATGGAGAAACTGCCTTCAGATAGAGATAGACATAGATGATCGGCAGAGAAACAAGAGCTCCACATTTTCTGATTTCCATTTAATACCGTTTTCTATCACTTTGTAGCAACATTTTTTGACTTATTCTTGTAAGGTACGAAAGTGCAAAACTGTGGTACCTCTTCTGACTCGCTATCACCACCCAAACCCACACTTATTGCCATCAAATTGATTCTGATGTAGCGGCCCAGCATGGGGTTTCCGAGGCTGTAAATCATTTGGGAGCTGGGAGCCTCATCTTTCTCCTGTGAGCAGCTCAGTGGGCCAGTGCTTAGCCGGCGTGGTCCATAGAGTGTTTTGTGAGAATTATTTCATGAATACTTTTTAATGATGACATGGAAAAAGCTTATTTCAAGAAGCATTATTTTTAACACCACTGGGTCTTACTTAACCACTCACATGGAATGCAGGATCCCTGGTGACGCAATGGTTAAGTGCTCTGATTCTAGCAGAAAGATCAGCAGTTCAAAGGCAACATGTGCTCTGCAGGAGAACGAGGTGGCCATCTGTGTTCATAGAATTACAGCTTTGCAAACCTTATGGAGTCATTCTACTCTGTGGGTCATAACCGACTCCATCGCTCACAACAACCACGAGTCTGAATGGAAGAAACCTTCCTTTCCGGCTCTTAAATTGGAGGCTCATTAATGAGCACATATGAGAGGGCTTCAAAAGTTCACGGAAAAATTCCATCATCTTTTAATTCATTTTTTCCATGAACTTTTTAACCTCCCACAATATATCAGCACAATCATTTTTCTTCTTGAATTACAAGTTTATAGAGTGGGTGTAGGTTGTTACAGAGATGGTGGGGGACAATTTATAGGATTTTTGTGACCCAGGATCATGCCAAGCCTTGACTATTGTGTCTATGTGTCTTGGAGAGTTTGTCAATGGATGCCCATCTGCTGGGTGCTTGGTTGACTTAGGGTTGGCCTTTGTAGGTGAGAGAGCCATCTCAAGATGCACAGATTATTACAAAAGTAAGGGCAGACAGGTATGCTTGGGCCAGAGTTGATTTTTGACCTCAGTTGAACATGGTCCACACACTTGGTATGCAGCCTCTGTTGTTGTTCTACTCCATTTTAAGACTTTTACTACCAATAAGGTCGGTTGATCACACTATTGTCCAAGCTCCCTATTGTCCTCAACTCTGTATTTTTGTGAAAAGAGAAAATAAAAAGAAAGCTTTGGGGCCCTCACCTGCATTGCTCCAATTCTTCTCACTGTTTTTCGCCTAGAACATTCCTACTCCTGATTCAAGTCTCCGCCTCTTTGGTTTGTTTTTAGAGACCTTCCTTAATTCCCATAGAAATAGATCCCTCCAGGAGGAGGCCTTTGTTCTTGTCTCCCGGGATCACTTACTACATTGTATAATTACTCATGTATACATTGTCTGCCTCGCCGATTAAGATTGCTATGAGGATCCATAAGGATGCCTCTTTTGCTTCCTGCTCTGTCTCCTAGTTCATGGCCTGGCATTTAGTGGTCCCTTGTAAATTATTGTAAAAATATTATCACAAATTTGTGCTTTCCTGAAAGTTTGGTTATCATCAAGTTTCAATTTTGAGATTGAGGTTCTGGTGAGATGTTTATTTTCCTCCCTCTTGTGATCTCCCTTCTCTGACTAAGGATTTTAAGGGGACTTCCAGGAATCCTCAGCTGCCATTGAGATCACTCTGACTCATGGTGACCTCCTATGGGGTCAAAGGAGAACTTTATAGGGGGTTTCAACGGCTGATTTTTCAGCTTTTCTTCCTATACCAGCTCAGTTTGGAAGCTCTGTGGAATCCTGTTCAGCCTCATAACTCCATGCAAGCCTCCACAAATAGACTCCATGCAAGCCTCCACAGGGGGTACATTGGCCAGAGTTGAACCAGGTCTCCCAAGTGGAAGTGGAGAATTCTACCACTGAACCACCACTGACTTATTCCCTACCCTCTGTCCGCACCAACCAAACCAGTTGTCCTTGAGTTTGTCCTGACTCAGTATCCCTCTAGAACTGCCCCATAGAGTTTCCTGCGCTGTAATCTTTATGAAAGAAGTCAACCACGCCCACATAGTCTCCTGTGGAGCAACTGATGGGTTCAAACTACTGAGCTTCTGGTTTAGCATCCAAGTTGCATGGTAATATTGATGACAATGTTTTATTATCATTTTATTCCTTTGAATTCGGCATGCAACCAAATTTGTTATCGTGATTAAAACCCAGTTGGTGAAAGTTCCTAGTGATAAGGCATCAGAACCGTGTGCCACTCTCCTTCTCTCTCACAATATATTTAGGGTTTTCTTTGTCTTACTTTTAGGATCGAAGATTCAATGATGAAATCGACAAGCTAACTGGATACAAGACCAAGTCGTTACTGTGCATGCCCATCAGAAGCAGTGATGGCGAGGTCATTGGGGTGGCCCAGGCCATAAACAAGATCCCCGGGGGCGCTCCGTTTACGGAAGACGATGAAAAAGTAAGACCACCTGCCTGCTGTGACGGGTGTGCTCCTTCTAGACCGTGGGTTGCAGTTCTCACTGGAAAGCACAGGAATTCGGTGACTAGCTGTTGGATTAGCCCACTCACGGGCAAAGAGCTTCTTCTCATGTTATTAAAAATGTAATGGGAGTTTTTGAAATCTCATAGAACGCAGTATATCTGAAACGAATTATTTCATCTCTCTCTCTTTTTTTTTTTTAACTAAGCTTGCTTTTTATTTCAAGCCTCAGTAACATTCTGGTAAATAAGCTTTTAATTGAGGATCACACCACTACCACCCCTGGCTCAAGGGAGAATAGGGATTACTGTGTTTCAGAAACTGGGCACTTTTCCTTGTGTTTTTATGAGGAGTAGGAAGAATTGCTTTCTCAGTTGTAATATGAAAATCTCAGCAAAATGAATGCTATTTCATTGTTATTCCAAATTGCTAATGAAAGGGAACGTTCTTTGGTACAGGTGATAAGACCTTGGTACAAGTGATACTTTATTTGTTCTGACATCCAAAATTCTTTCACCAGTAGTTTATTCACTGGCTTCTAAGAAAAAAAGATGTTCTTCACGAAATTGAAGTTCTGGCTTTGAAATTCTCACTGTCAAACTGAATAAGATCTGGTAGGACATTTATAACATTTGTGGTTAACTCTTAAAGTATGATCAGACCTTAGAATTCTTAATTTTTACCAATTTAGTACACTACTACAGTGCGCAAAGCTTTTGTGTTGGTAGTCATCAGAACAGCAAAGACAAATCCCACACGAGTCATGCCAAGGCTAGAGGCAACGATCAGTAATGAGATCTTCCAGGACGTGCTAGGAGTGTCTGGGAAATGGAGGATTGTTTCTACTTGGGAACTGAAGAGGCTTCTTGGAGCAGGCGGCATTTGAGCTGAGCTCTGAAGAGACCACTGAGGCCCTTCAGAGAGAACCAAGCAAGGAGAGGACGTTTGGAAAGACATAAATGTAGGGTACCTCAGTCACCACGCAAACGTTTCCATGGAATGCACAGATTTTATTTTGCTCAGTTTGCACCATGGGTGACAGTCCTGCCATAGGTGCCCCTGACAAAGATTTAGATAGAAGGATTGAGGTGTGTATCTTTCCACACATAACCACTGTATGCCTACGACAGCCCCCAGAGACATTCTACACAGACGGCAGACTTGCCTGCATGCTGTCTCCTTCATTTAAAAGAATCCTGTTGTGTACATGTATTTAGTTTACATCCTTGATTCCCTTTACAATATATTTGTGTTCTGGACCTTTCTCACTGCGTTTATATGATGAGATAGGACTTCATGAACTCTGGATGAATTAAAAATATACATTTGCACTGGGATTTGTCCCTTTTTCCAACAGCATCCATGTTTAGCTTCATTGACATTGAGGGCCTTTGGATGAGCCACTTAATCTCTGGTTCTCAGATTATTTCCAACCTGTGTCCTCCATCCTGCTATGTGATGATCATCAAATAAGATTACAAATGAACGTACTCTGCAGGATGTAAGAAGTTAGGCTTCGGTAAAATCAAACTTTTCTTTTAGAAATAATGTCTTTCTAAAGAGTTTTAACATGTTCTTGTCTATTTGTCACCAGGCAACTTATTTCTTAAATTCGTTTTCATTTGAATATTTCTTTTCTCCAACTTTTACATTTCTTCCTACTTCAATGATCCCAAACACCCACAGTAGAGTCTTAACTTCTACCCTCCATGAAATGCTAACATTCTTTCCCCCAAGAAGTGTACGGATTGTAAACCAAATAAGAGCTGTGCAGGACAGAAAACACCTCTATGACTGATGAGATAGAGTTGCTTCTTCCAAATCAGAGAAGGCAATGTGCATGATGGCTGTGCAGAACTCTACAGTGAGGTCACTGGGCTAAACGTCCATCCCTGCCACGACTGGCGCAACCTTGGGCCAAGTATTTAACACCTCAGTGTTTTCCTCTGAGAACACAAGTGATAACGACAGCTCCCATCTCCTAGAGTGGTAGGGGAATGAAATGAAATAATACAGAGAAGAAACGTGGAAGAGTGCCTGATATGTAACATCACAAGAAATGAGTATGCCCTGAGCACACGAATACATGTAAGCTACAGCCAGCTTTCAGTTTAACAAGCTACCTTGGAATAATCTAAATCCCTTCATTTTTATTCAGCACATTTTTTTGCTGAGGAATGCTCTGGTGTCAGAGTTTCAGTATTGAAAAGGGATATATACTTCTTTATAAAAGCTTCTCTTTTGCTATTGTTTTACTTGATTGTACAAGACTGTGTATTTGATAAAGTATACTAATTTATAGTCTGCTTTTAACCTTGTTGCCTTAAGCATATGCCCATAACTTTGCCATTTTTTAAGATGATAAAGTTTTCTTCTTTTCTTTTTCTACACAGACTAGTTTTCTTAGTCATTGCCCTGCGACAGGGAATTTTATTTTCCACTTTCTGCTAATCTAATACCCTGAATGAGTGTCTTTGACAAATTACTTTTTCTCCTGCCTAATTTCTTTGGGGGTGTATTCCAAAGACTGAAATTACGGAGTCAAAGGGCAAGAAAAGCTTTATAGTTCCCCACTTCATGTTATCAGATAGCTTTGGGAAATATTGAAGTCATTTACGATGGTTGCAGCATGCACATGCCTATTTTGGCAGGGCCCTGCCAACTATGTTCAATGCGCATTTTAGAACGCAAATTGGATTTCCTTAGCCTGCCAGCAAGGTTCCGGCAGTTCCGGCCCACACTGTGCACTACAGCAATGAGAGTAATTTCCATGTTGCCCACCAGGAAGGAAACCAGGATCCTCAATGGAAATCATGTGCTTAATGGGTAGGTACACTGCTATGGAGTCTGACAACCTCTGAGTCGGGTTCTAGAATTTGCTCTGCTAATTTACTAGCTGAGTGACCCAGAACAAATTACTTAATCCCTCGAAATCTCTGCACCTCCAGCACGGGTTATTGTGAGGGCCAAATCAGACAATAGGGGTAAAGAGCGTAGGGTAGGGCTTATTATCGATAAGTATAGTTTCATGAAACAGCTCAAATTTATTTCAAAGCCAAGTGAGGCTAACATGAATCCCACTCGTATTGTGCTTTATAGGCCGACACGCCGTGTCGCCATTCATGGGAAACCCATCGCACACGTCGCGGGTTATGGTTGCTTTGTCTTCATCTCTTGAAACGTCAATTTCTAGAAACTATAAGCTATGGTTGGTTACAATTTGAGAGCCTTTTACAAGATAAAAATTTGGAGGACTCATTTGCCTGAGAGCGGAATGAAACCTTCAGTGTATTTGCTTCTGGACTAACGATCGTGGGGGAACCCTGGCGGCGTTGCTGTCGGGGGACCTTTGGCTCCAACGACTCCCGTCCGGGTGGGAGAAAAAGGAGGCCGCCCTTTGCCGCAGAGATCGAGCCCGGCCTCAGCCGTCCCACACGGGGCACTAGGAGTGGGCATCGACAGGACAGCAGTGGGTGGACTCAACCGTGCAGAGCACTGGTTGTCTTTTCTCGGGTAGCAAAGGCCTTCATCCAACGGAGGAATCTCTGCCTCACATCTCTGTCCTGGATCATCTAGCCTCAGCTGGCAAAATTTGCTTTATGACTTTAAAATTATGCTTTTAAAAGTTCTTGCATAATTGGCTGTAATTTTGTCAGCAGATGCTAGACTTTATCATGTGAAATGAAGTCTACCATATGCACATATTAATACTTTAAATTACACACTGACAAATTATCAGTTTGGTAATTCACGCTGGAAGTACACACAAAAGCAGAAGAAATGATTCAAATTTCCTGGTTCACTTCATGGGTTTCAAGCAAATGTTCCTGTTTTTCAGTGAAATATATAAGTTAGCTGATTTAAGTGGTATGACTGGGCTCAATTAATTCATCGATTTGTTATTCCTGGGTGAGTAAAGGAGGCATTATTTGTAGAACAAAATAATGAGACTGGGATGGAGGCAAACACTTGCCATTTATTAAGATATATGGGCATGCCAGGATGAAGCCTGGGAAATGGAATTGAGCACCAGTTTTTTTCTGGCCTAGCCAGGCTGCCTGTACCTCAGTCCCAAAGATACCATTTTGCACAAAGTATGACCTGTCTATCGCAGTTTGCTTCCAACAGTGGACATAAGCAGTTGTGTCTTGAGTTTCTTTTCTTGGGTCGTCTCAACAGCATTTCTTTGGCCTGTGGTCACCTCTCTGCAGCTCTTAATTCAGAGAGTTTGGCTACCCTGCTACTATCCTATGTGCCAGTATGGTCAGATGCCTTGCTGTGCCGGCATACAGCCAACTGAGCTTGGCTGCTGAGAGACTGCGTGTTCCAGAGCTGGTTACCAGTGATACTCCCCTGCCAGTTGGGGCTGAGGAACATGCAGGCATGATGCTAAAGAGTCTCTGGGAGGTGCAGTTTGTTAGCTACAGCCGATGTAGAGGCAGATGATGGGAAGGACTTCATAAGCTCCCAGGGTGAAGGCTAATGTTTAGGATCCTGGTGAGTTATTAAGGTGCCGAACTCACGGTAGGGAGGAGGGGGTTGCTGAATGTACTGCAATGAGAGGGGCAACAATTTAGAGAATGCAGCCCTTAGATGGAGGACTTGGATTGAATTTGATTACTCCAGGATTAATTAGCAATAAAAAAAACCCATGTTATTAAAATCCTTTAGACATGACTACAAGCTTTAATTTTACCATGATACCCAACCCTAAACAACTCATAAAGTCAGTTTAATGGGGAACAAAGGTTCTTAAAGTGACAGACATCTTTGTTATTTTATGAGGAACTAGCTTCTGCATAAAATAATGATAGGGAAATAGATCTATATACTTATATTTATATGTTAAATATTAAGGCAGCAGATGGACATTGGGCGTCTATTCAAGTACTCCCTCAAACCAAGAACCCTTTGTTCTTATAATCCAGCGTTCTGTGATGCTCACCTTCCTGGTACGACTGCTGAAGACAAAATTTGTG